CTACTACTACTACTACTACTACTACTACTACTACTACTACTACTACTACTACTACTACTACTACTACTACTACTACTACTACTACTACTACTACTACTACTACTACTACTACTACTACTACTACTACTGGCATTAAAGTTGGGAGCCGTGAGCGATTGGGCTATACTGCATCGATTAGTTCACTCTGGAGCTACATCCTTCCCGAGCTAAGACCGAAATGTGTGAGCCAGAGGCTAAACATCTGTGAGCCAGCTCACACTCACTCAGCTTAGAGGGGACACTGGTGCAGAGGAGACGGGGGGGGGAGGATAGGAGGCCTCGGATCAGTCTCTGCTGCCCAAGCTGTGGGAGCGACGGAGGGCTCCGTCCTGCCCCGTTGCTGGGCTGGTGGGCTCCTTGGCGCAGCTGCGCTTTGCTCCGGCCGCAGAGCCAAGCGGCGGAAGGAGCGCCATCCCGGAGCCCCCTCTTTTGCACTGGAGCCCGGGTGGGCTCAGGCGCGGCTGGGCCGCCTTGTGCAGTCTGGGGAGGATCCCGGGGCTGTTTTATGAGCCGGCAGGGGTGGCGCGTCTGTGCGTTGCAAGTCGTGTGGCGTTGCAAGTCGAGTGCTGGACTGAGGGCCTGAGAGGGCCAGGTTCGAATCCCCGCTGGGTGACCTTGGGCCAGTCACTCAGCCTCACCTAACTCACAGGGTGGTTGTTGTGAGGCTCAAGCAGAGAGGAGGAGGAGGGTTGTACGCAGTGTTCCCTCTAAGCTGAGTTAGTGTTTTTGTCCTGGCTCCAGAGCAAGCTACTTTATGCAGCGGCCAAATCGCTCGCTCACAGCATTGATGCCGGTAGTTCACAAAGTGGAATTTTGGCTCACAAGACTCCACAGCTTAGAGGGAGCCTTGGTTGTAAGCCCCTTTGGGCCTGCACTGGGGGGAGAAATGAAACCAGAGTGAGGCTTCTAACCAAAAGAGAGAGCTTTCCCCACCCCCCACTCCCAATAGGAGCCCTGGGCTCTGGCTCCCTAGCCATGCTTTGGTCCCTCCGGCACACCGACTGCGCATGGTGGCGCCTCCTCCCCCCTCCCCCCCCCGCGAGCGGCTGCTGATGGCCTCCTCTCCCTCCCGGCAGGTCTTCCAGCTGGCCGCGCACCTGGTGTACTGGGGCAAAGCCATCATCATCTACCCGCTGTGCGAGAACAACGTCTACATGCTCTCCCCCAACGCCAGCGTGTGCCTGTGAGTCTCGCATCTGCTGATGTCTCCCGCTGCAGGGTGGGATGGGGGGGGGGGAGGACGGCTTCCCGTGGCCCGGGGGTCTTGAGCAAGTCACTCTCTCTGCCCGGCCTACCTAATGGGGGGTTGTGAGGGCTCAGACTGGCCACACACACACCCCGTACCCCGGGAGGCAGAAGACGGGATGTGGAAGGAACTGACGTGGCAGCCCTCCTTCCTGCCTGCCTTCCTTCCTTCCTGCAGCTATTCCCCTTTGGCCGACGAATTCTCCTGCCAGTTTCCCGGCCACGATCTTCCTTCCATCCTGTCCAAGTTCTCCTTGCCGGTCTCTTTGGCGGAATTCAAGAACCCTCTCGCTCCGCCGGTGCAGGAGGTGAGTGGGGCTTCCTGCCAAGGAGGTCCCGGTGGTCCCTGGTTCCCGGGGAGGAAAGGCCCCTCCCCCTCCCCCGCACCGAGCGCCCGGCCTGGCCTCCTGAGCAGCCCCCTCCGCCCGCCTGTCTCCCCACCCCGGCCGCAGACCCCGCTGATCCAGATGGTGGTTTGGATGCTCCAGCACCGACTCCTGATCCAGCTGCACACCTACGCCTGCCTGATGGTGCCCCCCAAGGAGGAGGAGGAGGAGGAGGTCCGCCCCAAGGCGGAAGAGGTGCCCTTCACCGCCAGGCTCGGGGGCCGCAGCCTCAGCACCCCCAACGCCCTCAGCTTCGGATCCCCAAGTAGGAGGAAAGGACTCCTTTAATTGGGGCCCCGCGGGGAAGGGGTGGCGCAGTGGGGGGGGTCTGTGCAGAGGGGCTCCACTTGCCTTTCACTTTTTGGGTGATGTGCCCAGGGAAAGGGGACTTGGGGGGGGATTTGCTAGTCTGAAAGGTATTTTCCTACTTTTTCTGATGGAAAAACTGGGGGGTGGGGGATGTGTCGGGGCGGGGGGGGGGGGGGGGGAATCCACCTGTGAGATATTTTTTGTTTCGGAATGCACGCAGCACTTCCTTGAGGCAAATGGCTTTTACATTCTAAATGCACGGCATGAAACAGCCTGAGGGACTATGTGTTTTCAAAGGCTTTAAGGCCGGAGTTCATTAGCTCCATTAGAAAATGGAAACAGTCCTCAGACTATTAATTGTTGTAGATTTTCCCGGGCTGTGTGGCCGTGGTCTGGGCACTGCAGGACCTGACTGTTTCGCCAGTAGCTGAAAGACGGAGCACCCTCTGTGTCAAGGGTGAGCTTCCTGTGTTATACCTCTGAGGATGCCAGTCAGGTCCCACAGGGCCAAGACCACGGCCAGACAGAGGACTGTTTCCATTTTCCCAGCCGCAAAATTAGGAAGCTTTGAGGAGCGCCGGGCTGGGGGGAAACCTATGGAGCGTTTTCCCTCTTTGAATTAAAAAAATGTTGTCTTGCCACCTTTTCAGTCCTTCCAAATGGATAGTTTGAAGGGGTGTGTGTGTTGGGTTTTGAAAAAATAAAACTTGGTTTTCAGCAGAGATAAAATAGCTTAGCAATGCCAGAGTAAAATAATTCAGACCCAGAGTCCATGTGTGTTTAAAATAGAAAGTTTTTACTACATTCTAGCATAGGGAAGGGTAACTGGGATGAAAATAACAACAGAGCTAAGTTCCCTACATCCTTACACTACAACGACAAAGCTAGAAGAGAGCAATAATGGCTTCTCTACTTCTTCTTGAGAACAGCAGACAAAGACGGGAAGAGAAGCCATAAAATCCCAAAACACTTTGACACTTTGCTTCCAATGAAACTCCTAGATCAGGGATGATTTTCCCGGGCTTGTAGTTCTAAACTAACATTGGCTACATAAAACACATGTGACTTCCTGTGACAACACAAACAAACATTTAACCCCAGATACACTGAAGTGTTTTCAGCTTGTAACACCCAACAGGGGGCTCTTCCACAAATTGAGCAAACTCCAGAGGACGGTGGAAGACAGGAGGGCCTGGCGTGGTGTGTGGTCTGTGGGGTCGCAAAGAGTCGGACTTGACTGTGCAACTGAACAACCACCACATCCTCTTCCAGTGATTTAGATGGCAATGTTGGCGAGCACTGAGAACAGAACTGGGAAACCCTTTCTCTTGTAGGGCACGGGGTGGTAGGGGAAGAATGGTTGGGATTAAGAACACCGCCCCCCCCCGGTGCCCGATTTCCCAAGCAGGCCCTGACCAGTGTTCCCTCTAAGCTGAGTTAGTGTGAGCCAGCTCACAGTTTTTGAGCCTCCAGCTCACACATTTTTTTGTCTTAGCTCAGGAAGGACGGCTCCAGAGCAAACTAATTGATGCAGGAGCCAAATCGCTGGCTCACAACTTTAATGCCAGTGTAGCTCACCAAGTAGGATTTTTGCTCACAAGACCCCACAGCTGAGAGGGGGCCTTGGCCCTGCCTGACGGGGGGCTCCTCTCTGTGCCTCTTCCGCAGCCAGCAGTGACGACCTGACCCTCACCAGCCCCAGCATGGAGAACTCCAGTGCGGAGCTGCTCCCAGGGGGGGACTCCCCCGTCAACAAGCGCATGACGGAGAACCTCCTGACCAGCCTCTCCGAACACGAGCGGGAGGCCATCCTCGGCGTCCCGGCGTCCCACAACCCCGAGGACCTCCGCATGTTTGCAAGGTGAGACGGAGGGAGGGAGGCAGGCAGAGCCAGGTGCCGGGCAGGGAGGCCGCTGGGCATGGCGCTGCCCACAAGGACGAGGCGGCCGCTGCCTGGCCAGACTCACTGGTGCCTGGCGCTTCTAGAAAATGGGCATGGGGGAAAGTCAGCCGGAGAGCCAGACAGGTGTCTCTCTGTACACGCTCAGGGGCCACAGGTCCCTCTGTTGCGGTGGACGCAGTGGAAGAAGAGGAGATTGGATTGATACCCCATGGCCCTTCACTACCCGAAGGAGTCTCAGAGCAGCTTACAGTCTCCTTTCCCTTCCCCACCCCACAACAGACACCCTGTGAGGCAGGTGGGGCCGGGAGAGCTCTTTCGAGGACTGCCCTTGAGTGGACAGCTCTGAGAGAACTCGTGACTGACCCAAGGTCACCCAGCTGGCTGTGTGTGGAGGAGTGGGGAATCCAACCCGGTTCTCCCAGATGAGAGTCCTCGCACTTAACCACGACACCGAGCAGGAGACAATCCCGCTGCGGTAGTTTTGTCTGGATGAGGACCTGTGGAGGTGCAGGAAACCAGGCCCTTCCCCTTCTAGTCCCCTCCCTAATCCTGCTGCACCGGGCCTTGGTCTTTTCCCTTCCCCTGCGTCTGAGAGGGCTCTTCATGGGGCTTCGCACCAAGGAGGTCCCGGTCCCTGGGGAGGAAAGCCCCCCCCCCGCACGGCTTCAGAGGCGCTCTGCTTGTGGAGGGGGGGGGCAGGGAGAAGAGCCCCGAGAGGGAAGGGATGGCCTTTCCCAGCCCCTCCTTGGGCCTCCGTGCTCTGGGCGGGGGGGGGGTGTCTCCTGGGCTGCTGCCGCCCTGGTGGTGTCCTGCCCCCCCCCCCAGTGACAGCTCTCCCCTTGCAGGCTGCTGCACTACTTCCGAGGGCGCCACCACCTGGAGGAGATCATGTACAACGAGAACCTGCGCCGCTCCCACCTGCTCATGCTCTTTGACAAGTTCCGCAGCGTGCTGGTGGTGACCAACCACGAGGACCCCGTCATCTCCGTCTTCCAGTCCCTCCAGAAGTAGTGAGGCGGACCGGCCCCTTTGGAGCTCCCCCAGGCCAGGAAGGACGGGAGTGGCCGGACTTGGAGCTCTGCTCGCCCCCCCGCCTGCCGGCCCCCCATGGCCCTCTTCACTGGGGAGACTGTGGGGAGGGGGGGCTCCCCGCTTGTGTTCAGGTAGGGGGCTTGGGCCGCCCCCCCACGGAGCGTGTGCCGAACCAGGGCCTCCGGCTCTGCCGTCTGCACTGGGCGGGGCTGTCGCCGGAGGAGCGAGCTGGAGAGTTTGGCTCTGCGGACGGCCAAGCCGAGGCTGACCCTTCGCCCCCAGGAGAGGCCGCCTCCGCGGGAACCAGCCTGTTGGAAGCGACAAGACGCCCCTCTCCAGGCAGCAGGCTGGGACTGTGCCGTGTGAAAAATGCACCGCCAAAAGCGTCCACCTCCACTTTATTATTTGTAAATGAAAATAACACGAAGTACAACAACAAGTAGTAGCTGAAAGCCGTGCTTTTCCAGGAAGTCTGGGGGGGGGTGGGGCCTGTCAGGGAAGGCGGGCGGGCGGGAGCCTTGGCCTCTCTCCTGCTCCAGCAGGGCTGGGGTGGCCGGCCTGGCCCTGGCGAAGGGGGGCCTCCTGTGACCCCCCCCCCAAGGACCAGATCCACTTCACAGGCCAGGGGCCACCCGATTCTGCCCGTCCCCTCGGCTGGGGGTCCTTCCTAAGCCTGGAGAACGGGAGGGGAGTGCGGCCCCAAAACGGCTGCTGCAGGAGGCGGAACCAAAGGGCAGCCCCCCGCTCCTTGCAAGGCCGCCGCGGCCCAGGCTGCGGACTCCGAAACGGCATGGAAAGGGCTGGCCTGGGGAGGAGGTCGGGCAGCTGCTCACAAGCCGGGCCTTGTTTCGGAAGAGGGTGCAGAGGAGGAGGAGCGCTGCCCCCGGCTGCTTCCTCCCTGGACCCGGCCCCGTAGCCAGAAACAGCCCCCTCCCGGGGCCCTTGTAGGGTTCGGCACAGCCTGGAGCCCCGAGGGGCCACCAGCAGCAGCCGTTTCTGGGCAGCACGAACCACAACGCCGTCCTCCGGCAGGCCAAGAGCTGTGTTTGTGTGACTTCCTTCGGCTGGCTGACTGACCCCCCCCCCGCCCCCTCCTGGGGTGGCCCCAACACCTCCCCCACCACCACCAAAACACCGCAGGAAGGGAGGCGGCTTACCAGCCTCTTCTGCTGCTCCCACACACACCAGCACCCGTCGGTCAAGGAAGGCACCCTGTAGGAAACAGAATCCCCCGCCCGCCCCCGCCTGCCCGCCCCCCCCATTCCCCCCTTTGGAGGGGGTCAGCTGGCCCCGACCCCCCCTCCTCCCGGCCCCTCTTGCCCCAGCAGGGCCTGCTCGGCTTCCTTGTCCACCAGGCTCACGCACTTGTTGCCCCGCAGGTAGAAGCGCAGGGGCTCGTGGGCCCAGTCGCCGCTGATGCCGACGCGGGTGCTGCAGACGAGGGCGTCCCCCGCTGCGGGGGGCCCCTCCAGGCCGGGCTCCAGCCACATGGCCGGGGCGCTGGCCAGGTCCTCCTGGTCGAAGCTCTTGTCAATGGCCAGGGCCTGGCACAGCTTGGCCGGCCCGTTGCAGAGCTGCCAGTCCTTGGGGGGCCGGGCCGGGCCCTTGCGCTGGCTCTGCCGCAGCTGCCGCATGACCTCCAGGCCCTGCAGGGGCTCCAAGGAGCGCAGCAGGACGGCCGCCCCCTCCCCTGCGAGAGACAGACAGGGCAGCCAGCATCAGCCCCCTCGGCTTCTGGGACCCCCCTTCCCGCCCCCCCACGCACACAGCATTTGCAGCAGGAGACAGCCCCCTCCCAGTGCAAAAGGGCCCCCGGCTGTCTACACACACCCCTGCAGGCCTCAGCCTCCTTTTCGTGGGGGGGGGGGCCTGTCCCAGGTGGCAGCTCACCCTGGCTGGAGATGTTCATGCAGAAGTAGAGGCCGTAGATCTGGTAGACGTAGAGGGTGCCGGGCTTCATGAACATGGCGGCGTTCCTGGCCGTCTGCCTCCCGCCCCGGGAGTGAGAGGCGGTGTCATCGCCCCCCAGGTAGGCCTCCGTCTCCACGATGCGCCCCCGCAGCTCTCTCCCGTCCGGGAGCCTCCGGGCCAGCACCTGGAAGGCAGAGCCAAGGAGAGCTGGCGGCAGGGGGGCGGGGGGGGGGCGATCTCCAGGTGGTAGGCAGTGTTCCCTCTAAGCTGAGTGAGTGTGAGCCAGCTCAGTTTTTTAGCCTCCAGCTCACAGATGTTTGCCTCCGCTCAGGATGGCTCCAGAGCCAACGAGTTGATGCAGTGTAGGCCAATGGCTCGCTCACGACTTCAATGCCAGGAGCGCACAAAGCAGAAGTTTTGCTCACAAGACTCCACAGCTGAGAGGGCGCACTGGCGGTAGGTAGACCCCTGGGAGAGAACCCCTGCTTGGGAGGAGGGACCCGACGGCATCACCGCCCCGACTCCACCTGCCCCCCCACTCCACCTGCCGCCCCCCCCCCAAAAAAAATCCCCAGGGATTCCCCCATCCCGGAGCGGGGGAGGGGTGTGTGCTTGCGTGAAGCTCCCCTGGATTTGCAACCCGTCTCCAGGCAGCGGGAGCCCCTGAAGCGACGGGCTGCTGCTGGGGAGGGGGGGCGGGGCGGGCTCCACGGCACAACGGCCCTGCAGCGCTGGACGGCCGGCCTTCTCCCTCCCCCTGGCCCAGCCCTCCCGGAATCTCCCGCTCTGGAACGGGCGAGCCACCCATCCCCGCAGGGCAGCTGCGCTTGGAGAGGCGGACGCAGCCACCCCCCTCGCGCAAAGAAAGGCACCGCACAGGGCGCGTCTCGCCCGGCCCCACCGAGACCCGCCGGCAGGGGGCGGCCTTCTGCCGGCGGAGGAGTCTGCGGGGGCCGCGCCCCGCCCTGCCGCCACCCCCCCCCGCTTCCTCCACCCCCCCGGGGG